AAATTTACTTTTTAAAAGTAACCTATTATCAAAATAAGTAATTAACTAATATTTAAAAAATTATTTATTTAAAACTTAATTTTTCAACCACACATTTTCCATCATTTTATTATTCTAAAATGTATTTTTATATGAAAATGAGTTTGAAACACCCCCATAGTAAAATTTGTAAACTTAAGCCAAACTTCCTCTTTACGTTATAACTGTTCCATTAGTGGAGACAGTTGGGTGTAACTTAGACGCAGTGTTAATAATTAATTAGGGAAGAAAATTAATTGTAAATATGCCATCTGTCGCGTAAATGGATCCCAGGTTTAATTTAAGGGGTAATTGCAGTTGAGACCCTCAACCTTTTGAACAGTCACAGACTTTCCTCTAACCTTTCAATTATTGCAGTTGTCACCCAAGCTTTTCAAATCATAACAGCGAGGCCCTTGTCGTTAATTGATCCAAAAACAATAATTTTGACCACATTTTACTCAATATTATTATGGCAAAATTGTAATTAATATTTTTCTCATAAAATAATTAAAAAATTAAATAAAAAATAACATAAAAATGAAAAAAACTATCTTTCTCCTTCCTCACCCCCAACCCCACCTCCAATCCCTCGACCTAAAATTAGAAATCTGCCATACCAGTGAAGAAAGAATACACTAATGGCATAACAACTTAAGTGAATCCAGACACAACATTAGACCAACCAGCAGCAAGCCCGACAACCCGCCCCGAAAACATACAGGCCCCATTATGAGTCGAGAGAAGATGGACCCGACGAAGGATGCCACGATAGATTTTTTGACATTGAATTGGGAGAGATGCAAGTCTTCTCGGATTATGGGAAGGAGTGGAGGAATAGCAAAAGTTGAGAAAAAGCATGAAATATAGAGAATAAAAATTAGATAAATATGGGAGAAAAATATTGGAACTGATAGATTAAGAAGAACATTTTTCTTCTTCGTGTAAAAAAAAATCAAGAATTTGTTATTGCAAATTGAAATTAACTTTTCCATGTTTTAAAATTATAAGTAGATAGATCATATGTTAGGCCAATTAAGTCTTTTAATAGTGTTGATGTCAAAATTAGCAAGGATAATTTTGAACCAACTTAAAAAAAAAAAAAAAAGGCGATTGATACTTAGAAAAGATCACAAAGATGTCATTTTAGTGTGATTGTGTCATAAGTCGTTATATGAAGTCGCTCTCTTTTTACAAGGGTCCAATTCAACTATTTATACATAGTTTCAGCCGAAATTACATCAAATTAATCAAATCAGCAACAGTGCCGAGCACGGAACTCGGGTCGCCAAATTCTCCTGCGATTGGTCGATGAAGCCGGTGGTCATGTGTCAATGTATTACCCAGGTAATGATGACCTGTAAGGAGCTAGAGTTCGAGGACTTGGGATTGGTTGTTCTGGACAGTGATGACGTCACCTGTGGCAAGTGTATCTGATTGATAGGGTGATGTGATAAGGGATAATCATGATATTTTTCTAAGATAAAGGCAAGTAACTCCGACCTGGGGGTGTTGGCCGAACTTACATTTAATTATGGTGGGGATAGCGAGCTGTTTATACTAGATCGGAGTTCGGATGTCAATAATTACCCCCCAGGTCAGCTCTACCGTAGGGGGGCTGACCTCAGTGATGCTTTCTCCAAGAAATACATTTATTGCTGTGTTATCTTTTGAGGTGGATGAGCTGTACGTCATTTATAAGTATCTTCTTCAGCAAGCTTAGCCAAAACTGCATCGTTTTGCCTCCCAGACTGTTAGACCTTTGATATTCTCCCTCTATTTCTGGATGAACGGCTCAGATCGTCCCTCTCATCTTCCCTTTCTTTAAATCCGTTTTGGTCAATCATTTCTCTTCATATTTCGCTGGTTTTACTTTATCAAATATTTGGGCGATTTCCTAAGTTCGTATTCCCGTATTCGAGTGAGGTCATTTTCCCAGTTCGTCTCTCAGGTATCCTTCTGTTCTTATCTGCTGCCTCCTTTCAATTTGAACTTCTTTTCCTAGTTTATACATGAGTGCGGACGAGTCTAGAGTTCATTCCTAGGGCAACCAGCAGGAAGAGTCAGTCTCCTTCTCGACGAGTTCGTCTTCTAGTTGTAGGGAAATTTTTACCCCCATTCCTATTTCCATAATTAACCTGACTGACTTAGGGCGTCCTGTGATGGACTTAGGACGTGAGGGTTCCAAGGGAGCAGGTAGATCCAGTAAGGATGTTTAGGAGAGTAATTCTGGGAAGTGGGGCTGAGTTCTTATAGGTCGGTCGTGACAGGGGATGCGTTAGCCAGCTAGCGAGCTAAATACGCCATTCCTAGTTCGGTAGTTACGATAATACCAGAGTCATCTGATCAAGTTGACACTCCTCCTGAGGGATGTGTTGCTCTGAACTCAGCTATCCTTCAGGTTGGCCTTAGGCTTCCTTTTCCTAGGGTGATTCATAAATTCCTTTCTTCTTGGGGCATAGCTCCTACGCAGTTATGCCCTAATGGGTGGCGAACCTTAATAGCCACCATCATTCTGTGGAACCAAATGGGGAATCCCGAGCTAAGTGTCCAGCAGTTCGATTCTCTGTTTACTTTTAAGGAGGATGAGAAGAACTCGGACTGGTGGTACACAAGCGTTAGGCCTAGAACGGGAGGTTCTCTGGTGTTAGACATCCCTTCCTTAATTAAGAAATGGAAGGAGGAATGGTTTTATATATCAGGGGAGTGGTAGTTTCATTCTGCCGAGGTGAATAGGGAGGACGTGGTTCCCAGGCTCTATCATTCGTTATGTAAGTGTCTTTTTGAGTTTTAGTCCTTTAGCAAGGCGTATGTTTGATGAAGTACTGACCTCGGTATTTTTTCTTTGTGTAGATTACAAGAAGGAGACGTTAACCAAAGATACATAGAGATGAGCTGAGGTAATAAGATCATTACTAAAAAGCAAAGGTCCTGTAAGTTTGTAATCTCAGATTTGAACTTATACCGAGCCGGATTGCTGCAAGTACGAGCTTCAAGTTCGGCTCCATCCAGTTCAGGTAATATTTTGATCTTCATTCGCGGTTGTGATTTCTTTATGTGTATATATATTTTTGAGCATTTCGCTGCTTTCTCAGATCATCAGGACAAAATGCGGGGCTACAAAGCAGCTAAGGCGGCAGTTGCAACTAAGGGAAAGAAGAGAGAAGTCCCAAAACAGATGGAGAGTTGTTCTGAAGAGGTGGAGAAGGACGTTCTATTGAAGAGGAACTGATCTGCCCCCCTGGCATCACTGAGAATTCCTGAGGCAGTGCCTTTGTCGAGCCCGACCCTGTTGTCCCCTTCGTTGCCATCCCCGACTGCCCCTTCTGCTGTCGGGACCAGTTCTGCAAACTTGCAGGATCAGTGCCCAGATTTACAGAGGCCGAGCTGGGAAAGTCTGGTGGGACACAGACCAGAAATATTTTTGGATTATCTCTGAGCTCCTTCTCCTTCCAGGGGAATGACTGCGTCACTCACTTCACATTTAAGGGAGTCGACCAATCTATTTACCCGGAGCTGGGGTCAGAGAGAGCAGTGCTATCTGAACGAGATGCCCATTGGTGAGCCTTGGTCACTGCTCAGCTCCATGGCCACCGATCAGTTTTATACATGATGGCGGTGGTGGATAAGGTATACCTCTTACTTGATTTTTGATTAATTTTATAACTGTTTTAATGACTTACCTGATTTTTTATTTTTGAAAAACAGGTGAAGTCCGAGCTGGACAAACTCATAGAGGCAAAAGATCAGACCTTCAATCTTTACAATAGCATGGAGGCTGAAAAAGCCCAATTCGCTCTGAGAGAGAAGGAGTATGAGGAGAAGCTGAACCAAATGGGGATCGAGCAGAACTCCAAGCTCGATGTCGAGGAGAGACTGATGGAGGAGATCAAGGCATTGAGGGCCTGGGAGGAAGAGGCCAGAGCTCGGACAGAAGAGGAGCGCGAAAAAGTTAAAGAGGCCATCCAGAAGGTATAAGAGGCCAACGAAAGGGCGAGGCAGGCCACAAAAAGGGTTGAAGAGGCTGAGGCCAACATTAACAGAGCGATAGAGGTTGGAAGGAGTCCTCCGAGTTTGACGTCGTGCCCAGGATGTCTACGTGGTAACCCTAGAGGAGTTGGTGGGGCACATCAAGAAGGATAGGCCTGATCTTGATGTGGCCTTTCTGGATGAGACACTGGAGGAGTAGAAGGAGGAGTTGCGGAGGTTGTCGAAGTCTGCTGGAGTCCGGGTATTACCGGTAGCTCAGAATGTTGAAGATACTACCCCTGCCCCCCAAGACCCTTGGGGGATTAAAAACATTGATTTTTGGTATTTTAGTTTGTCAATTTGTTTTTGACTTGCGATTGAACTTTGTTTTGACTGTTTATGACATTTTGTTTGGAATGGATAATTGTTCTTGTTCAGTACAGTTTTTCCTCACAGACTTAGCAAAAAATATAAAAGTGTTACAAACTTACAATAGCATGTAGAATTATTTTGAATGAATTTTACTTAGTTGTGCAGTACTTGCTTTTCGAACCAGGCATATACATTGGGCATTTTTACTAAGTGTAGTACCACGTACGGTCTTAGCTCGTCCTGCGTGTAGAGCAAGGCTTTATAGATTCTATAGGAGGAATTTTTCACTAAGTGTCGCAGCACATACGACCTTAGATCGGCCTGCTATGGAGTTTGGCTTTATGAGATTCCTTAGGAGAAATTTTCCACTAAGTGTCGCAGTACATACGACCTTAAATCGGCCTGCGTATGGAGCAGAGCTTTATGAGATTCCTTAGGCGAAATTTTCCACTAAATGTCGCAGCACATACGACCTTAGATCGGCCTACGTATGGAGCAGGACTTTATAAGATTCTGACAGATTGCTGAATAAAATGTTCAAAAATAGGAAGTCAATTTTTATTGATGTGATTGACATTACAAGGGGGCTTTTTCCATTCACTAATAGTACTGCTTAAGGTGGTCGGCATTCCAAGGATGGGTAAGGATCTACCTCCCAAGTCTTCCAATTCATATGCCTCCTTTAGCAGGACATTTGTTATCAGATAAGGACCTTCCCAATTTGGACCCAGGCATCCACTGCCGATCTCTCTTGTGGGGAGGAATGCCTTCCGTAAGATGAGGGATCCTACCTCAAATTCTCTTTTTCGCACTTTTTGGTTATAATACTTGGCGTTCCACTGTTTGTAAACAGCATTCTTGAGTTCGGCGTTGTTCATTTTTTCCTCGGTTAGGTTGAATTTTGTGCGAAGAGCTATGGGGTTCCTTTCTTCTTCGTAATCAGTTATGCGCAGTGAAGGAATGTTGATTTCTAGTGGGATCACGGCCTTTATGCCGAAAGTCAGTGAGAACAGGGTTTCTTCTGTGCTTGTCCTTGCAGTAGTACGATAAGACCATAACACACTGGAGAGTTCTTCGGCCCATCCTCCTTTAAACAAATCGAGTTTTGCTTTCAATGTGTGCTTAATAATCTTGTTAATGGCTTCGACTTGGCCGTTTGGCTGTGGATGGTTTGGTGATGAGAAATGTTTCTTGATGCTGAGCTCTTCGCAAAAATCTGAAAGTCGTGCATTGTCGAACCGTTTTCCATTATCCGTAACAATGGAGTGAGGTATGCCGAACCTGCAGATCACTGATTTCCACAAAAAGTTGGTTGTTTTCTATTCGGTGATGGTGGCAAGGGGCTCTGCCTCGGCCCATTTTGTGAAATAATCCGCTGTGACGATAGCGAATTTTACCCCTCCTTTCCAATGGGCATGGGTCCAATTAGGTCAACCCCCCATTTTGCAAAGGGCCAAGGTGCTGTTACTGGGTTCAGTTCACGCGATGGAGTATTTATGATGGGGGTGAGGCGCTGGCACTTATCGCATCTTTTGACAAATTCAAGGGAATCTCGTCTTATTGTAGGCCAAAAGTATCATTGTCGTATGATCTTCTGAGCTAGTGAGAATCCACCGGAATGGTTTCCACATATTCCTTCGTGAACGTCCTGCAGGGCGTGTTGAGCTTCCTCTTCGTTCAAGCACCTTAACAAGGGCGTGGAATAACCTCGTTTGTATAGTACATTATCAATTAGAGTGTACCTGGCCGACCTTGTTCGGAGCTTTCTAGCCTCTGCAGAGTTTTCGAGATATTTTCCGATTTTCAGGTAAGGGGTGATCTCGTCCTGCCAAGTTGGTTTGGGGTCTATCATCATAAGGACCACTTTATCCAGCTAGGTGGATGGTAGGGATATTCTTCGTACATGGATGCTATCGAACTCCTCGATTGCCTCACTAGTGGCTAAGCGGGCCAGTGCATCGGCGTGATTGTTCTGAGATCGGGGAATTTGTTTGACTTGGGTGGTGTTGAATCTTTCAAGTTCTTTTTTCACAACTCGTAGGTAGTTGTCCGTCCTGTCTTCTTTCGCCATATATACACCGTTGACCTGATTCACGACTAGTTGGGAGTCGTTGTGTAGGATTAGGTTGGAGATCCCTAGTCCTAAGGCCATCCTTGCTCCAGCAATGAGAGCTTCGTACTCAGCCTCATTATTTGAGGCTTTGAAGTCAAATGGCAAGGCTTCGCAAAATATGCGGTGATCAGGGCTGATTAATACAATGCCGGCTCCAGATCGTTCTCCGGTGGATGAACCGTCGGCATAAAGTTTCCAAGGGGTTTCTTTATGTTGTTCTTCAATTGGGACGTTGCAGAACTCAGAGACAAAGTCGACAAGTGCCTGGCTCTTTATAGAGGAATGGGGCGTGTATTTGATGTCGAATTGTCCGAGTTTTACTGCCCATTTTACCATCCGTCCAGAGGTGTCGGGCCTTTGTAGCGTTTGCTTCAATGGAGAGTTAGTAAGGACCTCAATGGGGTGTTCCAAGAAATATGGCCTCAATCTTCGCGCTGCCATCAGCAGGGTGAATGCCAGTTTTTCTACAAGTGAATATCTGAGCTCGGCTTCGTGAAGCGCTTTGCTTACATAATAAACTGGATATTGAATGCCATTTTCTTCTCAGGTTAGAACGGCACTAACGGCATGCTCTGAAACAGATAAATATACCTTTAAGGCCTCACCTACCTTAGGTTTTGAAAGTACCGGAGGTCGGGCTAATTGTCTCTTTAGCTCGTTAAAGGCATCCTGGCATTCTTTGGTCCATTCGAACTTCTTTCCTCATCGTAACGTGTCGAAGAAGGGTTTGCAGTGGTCCGTAGATTTGGAGACGAACTGACTGAGGCGGCAACCCTTCTGGTTAAACTTTGTACTTCTCTGGGTTTAGTTGGAGGCTTCATTTGGATGATAGCTTGTATTTTTTCAGGGTTTGCCTCGATTCCTCGGTTGCTTAAAATGTAACCTAGGAATCTTCCAGAACTGACCTCGAAAACACATTTCCTCTGGGTTCAACTTCATTCCATACTTCCTCAATATATCAAACATTACGGTTAGGTGTTGACAGTGGTCCTTGGCCTTGATGCTTTTGACCAGTATATCGTCAACATACACTTCCATTGTCTTTCCGATCTACTAGGAAAACATGGAATTCACAAGTCATTGGTAGGTGGCGCCAGCGTTTTTGAGACCGAATGACATTACTTTGTAGCGGTAAAGACCTCGATCAGTTACAAACGAGGTATGTTCCTAATTCAGGCCATACATCGATATCTGGTTGTACCCGAAATACGCGTCCATGAAGCTGAGTAGCTCATGTTCGGCGGTAGCGTCCACCATTTGATCTATTCTTGGCAATGGAAAGCTGTCTGTGGGGCATGCTTTGTTGAGATCAGTGAAATCTATGCATACCCTCCAATCTCTGTTGTGCTTTTTCACAAGGACCAGATTCGCGACCCACTTCGGGTATTTGGCTTCACGGAGGAAACCGTTGTTCAACAGCTTTTGCACCTCTTTGTTGAGTACTTCATATCTTTCAGGGTTTAGAGGTCGTCGTTTTTGCTGCTTTGGCCGAACTGAAGGATCCACTTGTAATTTGTGGCATGCAATATTAGAATCTATTCCTCTCATGCCACTGTGATCCCAGGCGAAGACATCGAGGTTCTCTTTAAGGAAAGCCACAATCTTGCTTTGGGTGGAGGGCTGCAATTCGCACCCGACTTTGAGCTCCTTTGTTTGGTCCTTGGCACAGACTCGAACTCTTTCTAGTTCCTCAACGGGTTCTTTGCCTTCAATCCTTGTCCGTGGGTCTAAGGGAATGAGTTCAAATTCCCTTATGTTTGCCATATGTACTCTCGTGGAGTTGCGTTGATGGCTGGCACAGGTTTTCCATTGACATCTTTCACAATCTCTCTATTTCCTTTGACTTTCCCCACACCATGGGGTGTGGGAAACTTGATAGAATAGTGATATAGGGAAACTACTGCTCTCAGGCTGAAGAGTAGGAGCTGTCCCATCACAGCATCATAAGGGGAGGGGGTGTCGAACACTACGAACTCGGAGTTTGTCTTCAACTATCGAGGTGCTGATCTAAACTCAATTTTGAGTTTGATTGAGCCTTTGGCAGAAGTCAAGGCTCCGCTTAATCCTAGGACCATATTTGGGTAGGGTCGAAGAAAGTTAGCAGGGATACCCATCCATTTAAGGGTGTGGCTAAATAGGATGTTCAGAGAGCTTCCTGTATCTACCAAAACTTTGGGGATAGTTATCCCAGTCACAGGCAACGAGATTACCATAACTCCGTGGTAAGGATGTGGATCTCCTTCCTTCTCGTCAAAGGATAATTGTTCATCTGTGGCTTTTTTGAGATTCTTTTCCGTTATACCGATCTCTGAGAGATCTGTAACGATTGGTCTCTTTGGTCTGGCTTCCTCAACTTGTGTGTTCGTCCTATTTGTTAGCATGTTAACTTGTGGCCTTGGCAGGTCGACGTTGCAGGCCCTTGCGATGACTTGATCTCCTTGGATAATTTCAGTCCCGAAACGGGTGGGAAATTTTACGCAATAATGATAAATTGACGTGGCAGCCTTTAGTTCGTGCAAAATGGGCCGTCCCAATATTGCATTGTAATTGGACGGTAAATCGACCACCACAAAATCCGCTAGTATTCTTCTTTGACGAGAAGCTTCGCCTAGCTGCACAATAAGGACGATCTGACCTAGGGCTTCGATAGGATTCCTAGAAAATCCCTATAGCTTCCTTGGATATGGTTGGAGGTAGCGGACCGATATTTTCAACTGCCTCAAGGTTCGTGGGTACAGTATGTTGACCGAACTTCCATTGTCCACTAGAGTGCGGTGGACTTTTACTCCGACAACCGTCATTGTGACTATCAGGGCGTCACTCTGGTCTTAAAGGATTCCTTCAGAATCTTCTTCCGTGAACCAGAACGATTCAGGGTCTATGCCGATCTTAGGGGTTTGATTCCAGTAGTTCGGCACGGTTTTTGCACTTCGGGCTTGCCTTCGCCTGGCCCTTCTGGATCCTTCGATATACTAATTTCTGCCCATCATCATTTTGATTTCGACATGTGAAAGTGGGTTACGGTTAGGGATTGCCTGCTGGGCTCGTGTGGGGCCCCTTATAGCAGTGGCTGTTACATCGTAGGTCGATCTGCTTCTTTTGGTTTGGCAACAAACTCTTGTAACCGACCTCTTCGAATTAAGGATTCAACTTCCTTTTTTAAATCTTGGTAGTTATCAGTGTCGTGGCCCATCGTCCTGTGGTATCGGCAATATCGTCCCTGGCGTTGTCCGGCATGTCCGTCCTTTAGGATTATAGGTCTGCGAAATGCTTCTTTTGTATTGGTTTGCGTGAATACCTCTTCCAAGGAGGTTTTGAGTGGGTGGTACTCCCGGAACTTGTATGGCTGAGCCCTGGGACATTCTCTTTCTCTCCTGTCCTTCTTTCTTTCTGGTTGAGGACTGCGGCTTGGTTTTTTTCTTTCACCACATCACTGAGGTCAATTTCTCGTCTTGCTTCCTCTTGGTCAGAGGTTACTTCTTCAGCGCTTATGTATTTCTCAGCTCGATTTAGGAACTTGTGATAAGTCCTTGGACCGTTCTCGTGTATTGACCACCAGAATCTCGTTTTGGGTCTTAGTCCTGTTAATACGGCCAAGAGTGCCGCATCGTCTGATATTTTTTCCACTTCCATGGATTGCTTGTTGAACCTACTCAGATAGCTTTTGAGGAATTTACTTCTTCCCTACTTGATGCTCACTAGACGTTCTTTGGGTGTAGTTCTAGCCTTGGAACCCATAAACTGGGCCAAGAATGCCGTGGCCAGATCATTCCAATCTTTTACCGACCTTTCGTGTAGTCTCCTAAACCATCTTTGGACTTTGTCTCCTAGAGTCAAGGAAAATGCCCGGCACATGATTGCCCTTGCCCCCTGTAGTTCCATCCACGAGGTGTATTTGTCAAGGTAGTTGAGGGGGTCACTATTCCCTTTGTATGCGATGATCTGGGGAATTTTCAATTTTTCAGTTAGTGGTTCCATAAGGACATCCTCAGTGAAGGGGGAATGTCGTTTGGTTTGGTAACCTTTAGTGCCACCTTTGTTTTTAGCCTCCAGTTCGGCGATGCGTTTTTTAAGCGCGCATAGTTCGGGTTCTGTTTATTCCAAGGGACGTTTCAGGTCAGTTTGTCCTCGCGTAGGATTCAGCGAGTGATGGTTCCCAAATCTGTCAAACACACTTGCAGTCCTTCGCGCCTCAAGTTCCTTGCTTTTGACTTCGTCGATTTGGCTTATTGATGATTCTCCTCTTGAAAAGTGGAGAGTTCTCCTGGTGGGAGAACGTTTTGCTTTTGTCCTTACAGGGGATTCCACCTCGATATCTGGTAGGGACGAATGGGTTTCGCTCCTTTTCAATCGTCCCACTGCATTTGTCAATTTTTCTAGGGCTTCTCTTATTGCGATCATTTGAGGGTCCTACCGTTCTGGAGAACTCAGTGGTATATTCGTTTCATGAGGGTGGGTGTGAGATGTATTTTTGGAATTTGAGCTATGACTCATGGCTCTTGAAATTTTTTATGGAGCAAATGAAACTATTTTTCACAAATAGGGGCCCTCTTGCTAGCGCCAAACTGTTGATGTCAAAATTAGCAAGGATAATTTTGAACCAATTTTAAGAAAAAAGACGATTGATGCTTAGAAAAGATCACAAAGATATCATTTTAATGTGATTGTGCCATAAGTCGTTATATGAATTCGCTCTCTTTTTACAAGGGTCCTATTCAATTATTTATACATAGTTTCAACCGAAATTACATCAGCAACAGTGCCGAGCTCGGAACTCGGGTCGCCAAATTCTCCTACGATTGGTCGATGAAGCCGGTGGTCATGTGTTAATGTATTACCCAAGTAATGATGACATGTAAGGGGCTGGAGTTCGAGGACTTGGGATTGGTTGTTCCAGGCGGCGATGACGTCACCTGTGGCAAGTGTATCTAATTGATAGGGTGATGTGACAAGGGGTAATCATAATGTTTTCCTAAGATAACGACGGATAACTCCGACCTGAGGGTGTTGGCCAAACTTACGTTTAACGGTTAGTTATACTAGATCGGAGTTCGGATGTCAACAAATAGTATCTAGATTTTGTTCAAAATTATAACACTAGAGACACAAAGTACAAGGCGGACCTTTTATTTTCCTTAACAAAATATGATTATATCAACAAATAAAGATCCCCATTGGTGGAGCTCGATTCTAATGTCTCGCTAGTTTGGATTAAGGAATTTAGTTTGTAATAGAAACTAGACAGAACAACTTGGTTCTAGGCCCTAGAGTATGATCTTTCAATTAATTGTTCATGATCGGGTGTGGTCATATATTGATTATGATGGTTGAGAAGGGGGAAAATCCACACTTCCTCTCTTTATCGATTGTCTTGATTTGATGATGCATTAGATTAATCACCAATTATCAATTTTGACCTTTCTTGAATCTTGATCGTAATTGGTCCAAACTCTGATTTATCTTAAGGTGACAAATGTCTTCTACTGAGTTGTATAGCCCTACTAAAATAAGAAAAAAAATATCTACTAATAGTAGCTACGATGTTTAAGATGTCAAAATGTGTCAGACGATCACAATAATACATGTTCATGCCTTTGCCTAGGAGTTCCACCAGGCCATGATGTCGCCTGGCTCACCCAAGCCTTTTTTGGCTATTCTGGGTTGGCCTGGGGGCTTGTAGCCTATTCGGATTTGTAAACGAGAGTGCTATAGCCCATAATAGCATCGGTAGTATGCAATAGTGAATAGAATTGAACAATGAAATGTACAAGTTACAATAGTGTACAAACGGGGCCTAAGTTACAATAGTATACAAACAAAAGATCTATAAAGGGAACTTGCATAAGATATTTCTAAAAGAAATTGAAAAAATATCTACTAATAGTAGTTACGATGTTTAAAATGTCAAAATGTGTCAGACGATCACGATAATACATGTTCATGTCCTTGCCAAGGAGTACCACTAGGCCATGCTGTTGGCTGGCTCACCCAAGCCTTTTTTGGCTACTCTAGGTCAACCTGGGATCTTGTAGCTTGTTCGGAATTGTAAACGAGAGTGCTATAGCCCATAATAGCATCGGTAGTATGCAATAGTGAATAGAATTGAACAATGAAATGTAAAAGAGTTGATTGTTTCGATTTTAATGGGGAATGTTATTTATTTCAAGCAAATAGTCATCTACCTCAACCGTGAGAATTTACCATAGATTTGTTCTCATGCAATGGCCAAAATCAGACAAAGAGAAGGACAAAATAATAATAATAAAAAAAAAAGTATCCTTGAATAGACTTAGCGAGCTTAACAGAAAACTGAAAATTACAGTCAGCCAGGTCAAACCACCTAGTTAAATTCTTCATTAACCATGACTTCAGGGTTCAATCAACTTTCTTGACTGGGCTAATATTTTGTCTCCTGCATGGAATGGATTCTTCCTTCCCCTTAAATATCTCATATGATTAAAGCATAACTTTCGAGCCTAATTTTCACACACACACAGATACATATAGAGAGAGAAGCGTAGATGAATGCAGTGGAGATAATTAATGGAAGCATATCAGTACTGAATCAGTACAGGGAGAAAGAGAGAAGACCATACCACAGACGCTGCACCTGTGAACTCCACTATTTGAAAAATGTGTATGCCACTTATAGTGCCTGTTTTCAACACAAAAATGTCATTACATTTACCAAGAAAAAGCCATGTTGCGGATCTTGGATCCTCTCCTTAATTTCTTCGAAAAGAATAGAGACGACGACAAGAAGCATTTATGAACGATCATCATTAACAAGGAAAAGGTTGGGAATTAACAAGCATATATTTAGTTATAAGTTTCTGCAATATCATATTCTTGATCTGGTGAGCCTCAAGATTACGATTTTTTTCTGCTGTATCCTTCTTCATACTCGTAATTTTTCTGTAATTCAAATTCAATAGATGCAATGTGAGTGGAATGTAATTTTGTACTAAGGAAAATAGTGGAAACAGATAATATTCACTTTAAAAATGTTGGAAAGTGTCCTTTTAGCCAAACCAAAAAAGCACTTATAAAAGAAAAAGAAATTGAATAATGACCAGATATCCCTGTGACCTTTAAAAAATTAAGATCTAACGAGCCACAATGTTAGCAGCAAACATGAGATTTCCAAGTATCCATGAGCGAGAATGTATATAAGAATGTTCCCGAAAGCATAAATTGTCTAACGTCTCTTTAAAATTGAAATACTACAAACCCTTTGCTTAATGCATATTTGGTATATCTATTACGAGACAAAAATGTATAGAACACACGCAAGATTTCAACTCTGTTTTCTTCATTGTTCCTGCCTAGTGCGAATCAATCCAGCATACAATGAATGGGGGAGAATAGGATCCTCAGTTGATTAATTAAAGAATCAGGCAGCAGATTTTCGTCTCTCAGTAAATCCACGAGTAATCCAAATTTGGAATACTGGGACTGAAAGGAATGCCCTCAAAGTCATCCAATGGCTTCTCTCTTTCAGTTTCACCCTTCGAAGCCACAGTAGTCATCTCATTGCCCATTTCCATGCCAAGTCGGGTCGTGTCTTGGGAAACACTAACCATAGAATTTGTCGTAGAGAATTGTTCCATCTTGTAAGCAGTTCTTCCAGGATCCAGTACTTGATTTTGCGCTACAATTCTTAAACCAGTTTGATCAAATTCTCTTAAGGGAAAGGTTGTCCAAGCCTTCATCATTGAACTGATCCTGTCTTGGTACGGGAAAGGAAGATCTAATGATGCTTGACATGGAAAAGTTGAATTAGGAATAATACTAATTTGATTATAAGAATTGGGATCTGGCTCTGGAAGTGCTGAGAAAGAATTTTCTTTGATGACTTTGCTTTCTTCTTCAGTTGTAAAGCTTGAACTAGGTCCACAAGAAACATCCATCAATGGTGGCAGTTTAGGGCTATCCAAGAAATATTGTTCCTTGAAAGAGTCCGTTCTTGGTAGTTCTGCACCTGGATTACTTCTGCTGAGAACTCCTGTGTTCTTGTGAAAAATTCTACAAACAACCCATTCCTCCTGGCAATCGGCATTCCATGGGATTAATTGAATACTCGAATTATTTATTCAAACAAGGAAACATAAAAGAAAATAATTTAAGCAAGAAATTACGATGGGAAGAATAAATTTTTGAACCATCTTGTATGAAAGCTTAAACTTTTTAAACGAGCATGCTTCGTCACGTTATGTTCAATTATTATTTATAATTGAACACACACACACACACACACACACACACACACATATATATATATATATAGAGAGATTACCAGCTAAATCCCACGGTTCACACTTATTTAGATCAGCTTCTTCTATGGCTCTTGCACTGAAACTTCTGTCCAAAACTTTCTTCACGAGATAATGAATTATGATTTCTTCATCTGTTGGATGGAATCTGAATCCCAGAGGTAAATCCATTTAATTTGTCTGAACAAATTCAACAAAAAAATAAAAATAAAAAAGAAGGCACCTGCAAAAGCTACCAAAAACCCTAATTTTATAGGAGGAAAAAAATTCTGGAGAAATCGGTATGAGGAAGCGGAAGTCTGGGAGAAATGGGATAAGAAATAGGGATTTTAAGTAATTACAAAAAAGGAACGAGAATTTTGAGGATTCTTGGGGAGAAAGGAAATGAAGAAAACTGTTAGACTTTTACACAAACAAGAGACTTCTGGTACAAGTTTTACATTACAAGATAACAACTAGATGGCATTGGACACGACTAAACAGTATAATAAAGATGATGACCCTATTGGTATCAATTATCCACCAACTCTTGAGCTAGTGCCCAACAGAAAAAATTCGTAGGTTCGATTCTTGTTAGATGCACTAGGAAGGTTCGGTCCAATCGCTACTCATGGAATTTATACATATAGCTCGCCCTATTTATATTATAATAGCATGTTTCAGTAGAGACGTACAAAGTCTATATAACTCGAAAATATAATGTATGATCTTGTGTAACATTAATCCGTAAACACACAATGAATTGCTTCATCATTTTTGGTAAGCGATACCAACTAGATAATATTATTAATAAGATTGTAACTCTTTTTTGTTTAGCCCTTCTTTGATTTAGTTAAAAATCATATTTTTAATAGATTTTGATGAATATTAATGAAATATATGATTGAAAAGTTGATAAAAATTGTAATCCCATAAAATATATAATAATCGTAAATGAGTCTAACGAAAAATAAGTTTAAAAAATGGAACGCAAACAAAGCGGTGTGTTTTGCGGAATTAGCCTTTTCAACTTGTGATGTTGTCATCAATGTGATCATACAAAGTTTATTGGATATTTCCAGAGACTTCTTTCTGAAGATACACGTTCTTCCAACGCGTTTCTGTGCGGAATATTGACCACTAATTGACTATTTCATCAACTTTTTCGTTTTTGTTAAGAAATTTTAAAAAATGAAAAATATTGATGTTATGCGTTCTAAACTAGTTGATATTTTGGTTTGCGAAATTTCTAAGCAATAATTTAGTTTGTTACAACTTGGATGAAATTTACGATATATTTGGTATATTTTTACAAAATTATACCAAATTGAAAAGAAAAATAAATATTTGAAGTGTTCTGCCTGCCGACTATTGACTATCATATTCAACTCTTATGTTGGTCCATATTTTTTAAAATTTATTTTCAATCACATATTCAATGAGACTCATAATTTTTATCAAATTTTCAATTTCACATTTTACTACTTTTATTAAAATCTACTAAAAATCTGATTTTTAAAAAAAAAAATAGACCTGAATCTAATCTGATTTTTTTTTTTTTTTTTTTTTTTTTAAAAAAAGGATTTTTTTTCTTTTTTTTTAAAAATTAAAAAAAAACTTTTTTTTAAAAAAAAAAAAAGACTCAAAACTAATTTTGTTTTTTTTTTTTTTTTTTTTTTTTGAAAAGAGAGCTGATTTTGCATTTTTATTATTGTAATTTGTAAAGCTGCCTTTTATGCCTTAATTTGGTAATATTTTTAACTTAGTAGTGATGTATAATTATTTAACTGGCTTAGAGACGAATTTTATTCTTTACCCCATTTAATTTAATTCTAACTTTTCCCCCCTCGACTTGTAATCTCTCGTGTCTTCATTTTTATTTTTATGTTATTGTTAAGTACAATATATTTAAATAAACTGTTTACAATTAAAAATTTACTTTTTAAAAGTAACCTATTATCAAAATAAGTAATTAACTAATATTTAAAAAATTATTTCTTTAAAACTTAATTTTCTTACTAAATTTACTTAAAAGTAAAATTGTAAACTTGAGCCAAACTTCCTCTCTACGTTATAAGAATATAACTGTTCCATTAGTGGAGACAGTTGGATGTAACTTTGACGCAGTGTTAATAATTAATTAGGGAAGAAAATTAATTGTAAATATGCCATGTGTCGCCTAAATGGAGCCCAGGTTTAATTTAAGGGGTAATTGCATTTGAGACCCCAAACCTTTTGAACGGTCACAGACTTTCCTCTAACCTTTCAATTATTGCAGTCGTCACCCAAACTTTTCAAATCATAACAGTGAGGCCCCAATGGACGGTTTCCATCCAATTTGTCGTTAATTGATCCAAAAATAATAATTTTGACCACATTTTACTCAATATTATTTTGGCAAAATTGTAATTAATATTTTTCGCATAAAATAATTAAAAAACTAAATAAAAAAATTACATTAAAATGAAAAAATTATCTTTCTTCTCCGTCACCCCCAACCCCACCTCCAATCCCTCGACCTAAAATTAGAAATCTGCCATACCAATGAAGAAAGAATACATTAATGGCATAACAAGTTAAGTGAATCCAGGCCCAACATTAGCCCAACCAGCGGCAAGCCCGACAACCCGCCCCTAAAACATACAGGCCCCATTACAAGTCGAGAGAAGATGGACCCGACGAAGGATGCTACAACAGATTTTCTGACATCGAATTGGGAGAGATGCAAGTCTTCTCGGATTATGGGAAGGAGTGCAGGAATAGCAAAAGTTGGGAAAAAAAAAAGTTAAAATAATGGTTGTCAAACACGGGCTAAGCTGTCGTAATTAAGGATGTTAAGCGAAACGAATCGCTCATCAGTTCACAAACGAAACGAGCAATGAATTTCTTGATGAGAGTTGACCATCACCTCGTATGAGTTGGATTACAAACTAGTAGGCTCATGTGTGAGCCAACTCATGAGGCAAGCAAGCAGTTCGACTCATCGTATTTAACACTCATCATAGTATTTAAATGATCGGTACAAATTGATGTCAAATTATATAATACGCTAGCCAAAATGTGTCAACAAGGACACCATGGTGGATAAAATTCAGTTTATTGAGTATGTTAGATTGAATTAGACAACAAACAAATTCTATCATTATACACATCTTATCAAATTAATCTTTTTTTTTTTTTGCCCCCCCCCCCGCTGAAGCAATTTTTTTCCCTATCCCGCCCCTCCGAGTGCTCCCCGCTGGCCCCTCGCTTTCGATCGCCGCCGGCTCCGCGGACCCCACAATCGCTGGCCCGGTCCCTCCGCGGTTGCGATCGCTCCCTGCGCTGGA